ATAGTCTAGTCTATAGTCTAGTCTACAGTCTAGTCTATAGTCTAGTCTATAGTCTAGTCTATAGTCTAGTCTATAGTCTTAGTCTACAGTCTAGTCTATAGTCTAGTCTATAGTCTAGTCTATAGTCTAGTCTATAGTCTAGTCTATAGTCTAGTCTATAGTCTAGTCTATAGTCTAGTCTATAGTCTAGTCTGTAGTCTAGTCTATAGTCTAGTCTATAGTCTAGTCTATAGTCTAGTCTATAGTCTAGTCTATAGTCTAGTCTATAGTCTAGTCTATAGTCTAGTCTATAGTCTAGTCTATAGTCTAGTCTATAGTCTAGTCTATAGTCTAGTCTATAAGTCTAGTCTATAGTCTAGTCTATAGTCTAGTCTATAGTCTAGTCTATAGTCTAGTCTATAGTCTAGTCTATAGTCTAGTCTATAGTCTAGTCTATAGTCTAGTCTATAGTCTAGTCTATAGTCTAGTCTATAGTCTAGTCTATAGTCTAGTCTATAGTCTAGTCTAGTCTAGTCTATAGTCTAGTCTATAGTCCTAGTCTATAGTCTAGTCTATAGTCTAGTCTATAGTCTAGTCTATAGTCTAGTCTATAGTCTAGTCTATAGTCTAGTCTATAGTCTAGTCTATAGTCTAGTCTATAGTCTAGTCTATAGTCTAGTCTATAGTCTAGTCTATAGTCTAGTCTATAGTCTAGTCTATAGTCTAGTCTATAGTCTAGTCTATAGTCTAGTCTATAGTCTAGTCTATAGTCTACTCTATAGTCTAGTCTATAGTCTAGTCTATAGTCTAGTCTATAGTCTAGTTTATAATCTAGTCTATAGTCTAGTCGATAGTCTAGTCGATAGTCTAGCCTATAGTCGAGTCTATAGTCTAGTTGATATTCTAGTCTATAGTCTAGTTGATATTCTAGTCTATAGTCTATTCTATAGTCCAGTCTACAGTCTAGTCTATAGTCTAGTCTATAGTCTACTCTATAGTCTAGTTCAGTCTATAGTATATTCTATAGCCCAGCCTATAGTCTAGTCTATAGTCTAGACTACATTCTAGGCTATTGTCTTGTCTGTCTTGTCTCGATCTAAGTAATAATGACTTTTTTCCACATACCTCTACTTCGGGTGAAGGAGTTTTTAAGCGAGCCTTAAGGATTTTCTTAAAAGTTTTACCATGTGACATCTCCATTTTTAAGGTTTTAAGAGGAAAATTACCACAAGGTTTTTAACTAGATTCACATAAAACACTTTTAGACTTTCACACATTTACAACTGAAACACTTAAGTGGATTATTAGCTAATTTTATTTTTGTTTTATTACAGCAATTAAGGTAGTATTTAATTTCTTTTTAACACAAAAAGGATAAACTTTTTTTTTTAATTATTATTTTTTTGAATAAAACACTAAACGTTAGAAGCCGTGATGTTGTAGTTTTCATATGCACAACAGATGAACTGAAAGTAAAATCTGGTGTGCAAATTAATTTAAAGCATAATTTTTATTATTCTTTTGAACTTTTAAACAGTAAAATAGCCAAACATTGGAATATTAATTAATTTTAGAAAACAAATTTCAGATAAGTAAGGTAAACAATCGATTTAATAGATAATGACAAAGAAATTATATGTTTACTAAAGTAAATAAATAAACATTAAAGTAAACAAAATTACTTCCGTTTTCCCTAAACCACAAAACACACAATTTTAGGTCATTTTATATACTTTATTTAAAGGTTAAAAAATATTTGTTTTTTTTTTAATTTTCTTCTCTAAGCTGCACCAAGAACAAACACTTTACACTACAATTGAAAATTTTTAACTAAAAGATCTTAGATATTTAAAATTTTCTGCGGCAAAAATTCTGTCAATTAAATATACATTTGATATAAAAAAAATAACTTTGTATGTTTTATTGCCGCTAAACATTTATAAACATTTAATAACGTTTTCATTTGTTGTTCATCACGTTAATGATGACGATGATTTGACAAGAATAGTACACAAGTTCTAACAAAGATTCACACTTGAAAGCCATCAAAAAGAAAATAGAAAAAAACTGCCTATATAAACCCGTATAAATGATATCTAATTGCTTATTTACATAAAATTATAAAGATTTTTGTTTTTTTTTTTTTTAATTTATTTATAACTCAAGTCAATTTAAGTGTTTATGATATTGTTAAAAAATAATAAAAATATAGAGCAACAAAAGAGTTGTTGACGATCATTAAAGATTAGTTAATTTTAACATTACTTAGTTGAAAAATCAGTAGAAAATTTATGGCCTACTTTAGGGATGAAATAAATTAATTTACTTGATCGTATAAACAGTGAAGTTCAAAGAAGAATTTATCATTTCCTTAATTCTAAAACTGAGTTCGAACTAATATTAAACTGAGTTAAAACTGAATTAGAAATGAACTAAACTAGAATATAACTAGAACAGAACTAGAACAGAACTAGAACAGAACTAGAACAGAACTAGAACAGAACTAGAACAGAACTAGAACAGAACTAGAACAGAACTAGAACAGAACTAGAACAGAACTAGAACAGAACTAGAACAGAACTAGAACAGAACTAGAACAGAACTAGAACAGAACTAGAAACAGAACTAGAACAGAACTAAAGAACTAGAACAGAACTAGAACAGAACTAGAACAGAACTAGAACAGAACTAGAACAGAACTAGAACAGAACTAGAACAGAACTAGAACAGAACTAGAACAGAACTAGAACAGAACTAGAACAGAACTAGAACAGAACTAGAACAGAACTAGAACAGAACTAGAACAGAACTAGAACAGAACTAGAACAGAACTAGAACAGAACTAGAACAGAACTAGAACAGAACTAGAACAGAACTAGAACAGAACTAGAACAGAACTAGAACAGAACTAGAACAGAACTAGAACAGAACTAGAACAGAACTAGAACAGAACTAGAACAGAACTAGAACAGAACTAGAACAGAACTAGAACAGAACTAGAACAGAACTAGAACAGAACTAGAACAGAACTAGAACAGAACTAGAACAGAACTAGAACAGAACTAGAACAGAACTAGAACAGAACTAGAAAACTAGAACAGAACTAGAACCAGAACTGAACTAGAACTGAATTAGAACTGAATTAGAACTGTACTAGAACTGTACTAGAACTAAACTAGAACTGAACTAGAACTGAACTAGAACTGAACTAGAACTGAACTAGAACTGAACTAGAACTGAACTAGAACTGAACTAGAACTGAACTAGAACTGAACTAGAACTGAACTAGAACTGAACTAGAACTGAACTAGAACTGAACTAGAACTGAACTAGAACTGAACTAGAACTGAACTAGAACTGAACTAGAACTGAACTAGAACTGAACTAGAACTGAACTAGAACTGAACTAGAACTGAACTAGAACTGAACTAGAACTGAACTAGAACTGAACTAGAACTGAACTAGAACTGAACTAGAACTGAACTAGAACTGAACTAGAACTGAACTAGAACTGAACTACAACTGAACTAGAACTCAACTAGAACTGAACTAGAACAGAACTAGAACTGAACTAGAACTGAACTAGAACTGAACTAGAACTGAACTAGAACTGAACTAGAACTGAACTAGAACTGAACTAGAACTGAACTAGAACTGAACTAGAACTGAACTAGAACTGAACTAGAACTGAACTAGAACTGAACTAGAACTGAACTAGAACTGAACTAGAACTGAACTACAACTGAACTACAACTGAACTAGAACTGAACTAGAACTGAACTAGAACTGAACTAGAACTGAACTAGAACTGAACTACAACTGAACAACAACCGAACTACAACTGAACTAGAACTGAACTAGAACCAAACTAGAAATTAACTAGAATTGAAAAAGATCTGAACTGGAACTAGAATTGAACAAGAACTAACTCTTAATTAGGGAATAGTTATTATATTAAACAAAAAGAATTGACATTTATGACAAAAAATTGTGGAACTACCTAAAATAATTTCACTCGCTTACACTTAAATCGTTTTAAACTTGTCATACATTAGTTCTCAATTAGTTATCGCTATATCTAATATTACAAATTCGCAACTTTATATGATGATTATTCCCACATTTTATCTTCATACTTAATACTACCGTTTAGTACTTTAGTACCAATACAAATTCACCTGTTTTGTAAGATAAAAAAACATACTCCCTCTGAAGTTTATTCATATCATGATCAATTCGTGTGCATGTAAATTCTATAAATTATATATTTTACATACAACCCGCAATTATCAGTTGAAATGTTACACTGATAATGTGCAGATAATGAAAACTAAACAAAATTAAACTGAAATACGTTGAGCTAATAAATTATCTTAATAATGAACAAATTAAAAGACACATTATGTCGGTGCGCTACGATTAAAAGGGGGTATTCTGAAATTAAAAATTTTTTCGTAGAGTTGGTAATAACACGATTTTGTCAAAGTCCAATAATAAACTGGTGTAATTGACTAAGTTATAGTGCAATGATATTTAGATTTAGATATAGTGCAATGATATTTAGATTTCACTTTCTATTAACCCTACAATTACTAATGGGTCTTCTTATAAAAGTTGATTCCTGAACGGTATAATCCGATAAAAAATGTGGTTTATAGATAACGCATAAAGTATGTTTAAATTTGATATCTTTGTTTAATTTTCGTGTCTTAAGTGTGCCAAATTTAAGATATATACATTAGGGCGGCCCCAAAAAAGTTGGCAATGTATCTAATTAAGCAACATTGTAATTTTTCTTTGAAGAATCATGAGGACCTTCTATCTACACAAAAATATTATAAAATTTTTCGCAATAAAAAAAATTTGTGATCCGAATCTTAAATATTATGATGTCTAAGAGACTTTGAAAGCGATCTTCAAAAAATTTTTATTAATCCCCTCAAAAATTAACACCAACCTAATATACACATGCGTACGTAAAAATGACATATATTATTTCCAAAAACAAACAAACATAATACCTGCAAAGAACTGCCGGGTTTTGAAAATGAATTACGTAGAAAACCAAATGGAAATAGACTACCATAACCTGAAATAGAACCACGATGTCCCTGTGCTGTAGGTGAAGAATTATTATTAGCGGCTGCAGCAGCAGCAGCTGATGTTGAGGCTGGATTTAGAGGTGACATTTCGGAATAGGCACGGCCTACTTGAGCCAATTTTGGTGTTTTACGCATTTTGATAAATTATTTTAAAAAATTTTAACTTAAACACATAACACTAACTGTTTTTATATACATAACTTTACAAATATTTAACTTTTTTCTATTTTAACTTTAGAATTTTTTTCTATTATGACTTTCAAAGCCATTTTTTACACACACACTTAAATGTCAATCACATTTTTAATCTTGTTAATTAATTACTAAATATGTTTTATTTATTATTATTATTTTGTCTAAACAAAAACCGATTTTTGTTATTTTCTTAATATTTTTTTTTTTTATTTTTTTAATTCACAATTTTATTTAAAAAATTTGCAATCTCGTGTTTTCTGTTCATTTTCTTCTTCCTACTTTTCTCTCACTCTCTCTGTTTCAGATTAGTAACTAAACAAGACTGTGTTTGATGATAGTCATATAAATAAAATTAAAAAAATATATTTTATGATGACTCTAAATATTCATACAATGATTAATATTAACCCTCTACTAGGTACTCTGCATACAGTGTTGGGCAAATTAATAGAGATAAGTAAGTTAATTTTATGAGTTTGGAAATAGTCTAGTCTATATCATTAACTGTAGTCCTGTCTATAGTCTGGACTATAGTTGTGTCTATAATCTGAAGTCTGAAATCTGAGTCTAGTCCATAGTATGGACTATAGAATAGTCCATATTATGGACTATAGTCTAGTCCATAGTCTGGACTATAGTCTGGACTATAGTGTAGACTATAGTCTGGACTATAACCTAGTCTATAGTCTGAACTATAATCTAGTCTTGCACATTCTCTACTATATTCTAGTTTTGCATATTCTGAACTATAGTCTAATCTATAGTATGAACTACAGTCTAGTCCGTAGTATGGACTATAGTCTAATCCATAGTATGGACTATAGTCTAGTCCATAGTATGGACTATAGTCTAGTCCATAGTATGGACTATAGTCTAGTCCATAGTATGGACTATAGTCTAATCCATAGTATGGGCTATAGTCTAGTCCATAGTATGGACTATAGTCTAGTCCATAGTAGTCTATAGTATGGACTATAGTCTATAGTATGGACAATAGTCTGGTCCATAGTATGGACTATAGTCTAGTCCATAGTATGGACTATAGTCTAGTCCATAGTATGGACTATAGTCTAATCCATAGTATGGACTATAGTCTAGTCCATAGTATGGACTATAGTCTAGTCCATAGTATGGACTATAGTCTAATCCATAGTATGGACTATAGTCTAGTCCATAGTACGGACTATAGTCGAGTCCATAGTAGGGACTATAGTCGAGTCCATAGTAGTCTATAGTATGGACTATAGTCTATAGTATGGACTATAGTCTAGTCCATAGTATGGACAATAGTCTAGTCCATAGTATGGACAATAGTCTAGTCCATAGTATGGACTATAGTCTAGTCCATAGTATGGACTACAGTCTAGTCCATAGTATGGACTATAGTCTAGTCCATAGTATGGACTATAGTCTAGAATATAGTCTAGACTATAGTCTGGACTATAGTCTTTTTTATAGTCTTGACTATAGTCGTCTAGTCTATAGTCTGAAATATAGTCTAATCTATAGTCAGGACTATATTCTATAGTCTTGACTATAGACTGTTCTATAGTCTTGACTATAGACTGTTCTATAGTCTTGACTATAGACTGTTCTATAGTCTTGACTATAGACTGTTCTATAGTCTTGACTATAGACTGTTCTATAGTCTTGACTATAGACTGTTCTATAGTCTTGACTATAGACTGTTCTATAGTCTTGACTATAGACTGTTCTATAGTCTTGACTATAGACTGTTCTATAGTCTTGACTATAGACTACTTGACTATAGACTACTTGACTATAGACTGTTCTATAGTCTTGACTATAAACTGATCTATAGTCTTGGCTATAAACTGATCTATAGTCTTGACTATAGACTGATCTATAGTCTGGACTCTAGTCTAGAGTATAGTCTAGATTATTGTCTGGACTATACTCTGGGCTCTAGTCTAGTCTATAGTCTAGCCTATAGTCTGTACTATAGTTACATTTAGAAAGTTAGAAGTCCTTCCAAATACTTTCTAAACTCTCATATATAAGTTTTTAAGCCAAGAGGTCCTTCGGATCCCTATTATTCTTACCTGTACTGTAAGTAGTACAAAATAGTAAACATAATATAGAGTAATGTAGTAAGTATAATATAGAGTAAGTTGTCATGAATGTGAGAAGTTTTATTTTATTGTTATTGTGTTTATATTACTGTTATTTACAGTGATGAGTCATTTGGTACACTCGTACATACTCATTACAAATTAAGTACCAACTTTCGTTTTTGGACATTTCAACTTCTTAGAGGTCATATTATAGTCCAGTTTATAGTCTAGATTTTAAAATTCACAATGGGAACATATTGTAAATAACTATGTATATTACACTTTGAAATATTTACATTTTTTTTATAAAATAAGCATGTAGTTTTTCAAAAAAATATTGAACGAAAACTTTCTATAGGTACTTTTTTATTCATTATTAAGCTTGGTGGTACTTTTTATAATAATCCATCACTGCTTCATTCCATATTGTTTAAACATAATCTTAATAAAACTAAAATAAATTTAGTTTAATTTTTCTTTTTTGTTAGAGATGGTAGGTAGTTATGTTGTTTTTTTATTATTATAAAATAACAAATTAAGCATTTAGTTGACAATATTAAAAAACTGTGTTTGCATACACAGTGTAACAGGTATTAAAACTTACAAAAAAAATTGCTGATAAATATAATAAAATTCGGATAGATAGTTGATATAATATCAATATTTTTAAGTAAATAATAAAATCGGTATTCATAAACGATCAATAAATACGGTTTATAATAGGAATTTTGTAAGAATAATAACATCATGAATACGATGAGAGTGAGAAATTTTTGTTTCTACAAATATTTGTCACCCTATTTACATTACTCTCAATTGGTAGTACTCATATAACGGTTATTTAAATGAAGCAAATAATACAATACCATTTTGTTATTTGAAATGAATATTTGCTATGACGAATATTAAGTAGTTCAATGTGATTATTTGCAAGCCCTTATGAATAGACATTGAAATATGAAACAAAATTTTTTCATTGTCTCCCTATTACTTTTACATCTTACTACACAATATTTGGGTTAATATACGTTAAGGCTAATGTTTGTAACATACAAAAATATTGGGTCCTGTCTATAGTCTTTACTATATTTCTGCCTAGAGTCTTGACTATAAATCTGCCTATAGTCTTGACTATGGATCAGTCTATAGTCTTGACTATAGATCAGTCTATAGTCTTGAGAATAAAACTGTCTATAGTCTTGACTATAGGTCTGTCTTGACTATATTTTTGCCTATAATCTTGATTTGCCTAAAGTCTTAACTATTGATATGCCTAAAGTTTTGACCATAGACTTGACTATAGTTTAGCCTATAGTCAAGACTATGGATCAGTCTATAGTCAAGACTATAGATCAGTCTATAGTCAAGACTATAGAACAGTCTATATTCAATACTATAGAACAGTCTATATTCAATACTACAGATCAGGCTATAGTCAAGACTATAGATCAGTCTATAGTCACGACTATAGAGCAGTCTATAGTCAAGACTATAGATCAATCTATAGTCAAGACTATAGATCAGACTATAGACCAGTCTATAGTCAAGGCTGTAGATCAGTCTATAGTCAAGACTATAGATCAGTCTATAGTCAAGACTATAGATCAGTCTATAGTCAAGACTATAGATCAGTCTATAGTCAAGACTATAGATCAGTCTATAGTCAAGACTATAGATCAGTCTATAGTCAAGACTATAGATATTTCTATAGGCAAGACTATAGATCAGTCTATAGTTTTGACAATAGATCAGTCTATAGTTTTGGCTATAGGTCAGCCTATAGTCTTGACTATAGGTCAGTCTATAGTCTTGACTATAGGTCAGTCTATAGTCTTAATTACAGATCAGTTTGTATTCTTGATCAGTATAAAGTCTTGACCATATATCAGTCTATAGTCTTGAATATATATCAATCTATAGTTTTGACTATAGATCTGTCAATAATCTTGACTATAGATCAGTCTATAAACTTGGCTATAGATCAGTCTATAGTCTTCACTATAGATCAGTCTATAGTCTTGACTATAGATCAGTCTTGGCAACATATTAGTCTATAGTCTTGGCAATAGACTATAGATCAGTCTATAGTCAAGACTATAGAACAGTCTATATTCAATGCTATAGATCAGTCTGTAGTCAAGACTTTAGATCAGTCTATAGTTAAGACTGTAGATCAGTCTATAGTCAAGACTATAGCTCAGTCTATAGTCAATACTATAGATCAGTCTACACTCAAGACTGTAGATCAGTCTATAGTCAAGACTATAGATCAGTCTATAGTCAAGACTATAGTCAGTCTATAGTCTTGACTATAGATCAGTCTATAGTCTTGAGAATAAAACTGTCTATAGTCTTGACTATAGGTCTGTCTTGACTATATTTTTGCCTATAATCTTGATTTGCCTAAAGTCTTAACTATTGATATGCCTAAAGTTTTGACCATAGACTTGACTATAGTTTAGCCTATAGTCAAGACTATGGATCAGTCTATAGTCAAGACTATAGATCAGTCTATAGTCAAGACTATAGAACAGTCTATATTCAATACTATAGAACAGTCTATATTCAATACTACAGATCAGGCTATAGTCAAGACTATAGATCAGTCTATAGTCACGACTATAGAGCAGTCTATAGTCAAGACTATAGATCAATCTATAGTCAAGACTATAGATCAGACTATAGACCAGTCTATAGTCAAGGCTGTAGATCAGTCTATAGTCAAGACTATAGATCAGTCTATAGTCAAGACTATAGATCAGTCTATAGTCAAGACTATAGATCAGTCTATAGTCAAGACTATAGATCAGTCTATAGTCAAGACTATAGATCAGTCTATAGTCAAGACTATAGATATTTCTATAGTCAAGACTATAGATCAGTCTATAGTTTTGACAATAGATCAGTCTATAGTTTTGGCTATAGGTCAGCCTATAGTCTTGACTATAGGTCAGTCTATAGTCTTGACTATAGGTCAGTCTATAGTCTTAATTACAGATCAGTTTGTATTCTTGATCAGTATAAAGTCTTGACCATATATCAGTCTATAGTCTTGAATATATATCAATCTATAGTTTTGACTATAGATCTGTCAATAATCTTGACTATAGATCAGTCTATAAACTTGGCTATAGATCAGTCTATAGTCTTCACTATAGATCAGTCTATAGTCTTGACTATAGATCAGTCTTGGCAACATATTAGTCTATAGTCTTGGCAATAGACTATAGATCAGTCTATAGTCAAGACTATAGAACAGTCTATATTCAATGC